AAAAAAAAAAAAAAAAAAAAAAAAAAAATGAACATTACAATTGTTACAAACATAAACTGCTCATTTCACTAAACAAATATGAGCATAAAGTATTAAAAATGTATCTTTCTGTGTTTTCCATGTAGCAAAATTTTCTGTGTTCCTTTTTGGAAATGGCAGTTCTACCAGTTAAAACTGCTGCTTCAAATTATGTGATAATTTAGTTCAAGGTCATTATTAGCTTAGATGACCAAACCTAAAAAATACTGCTCTCATATTAGAGACCTTGAAGAACACTCTAATGGGATTAAAATGTCTTGCAAAGAATTATAACATGACTAGCTCAAGAAATCTTAATTTATGAAAGGTCACAGAGTTACAAAAAACATCGCTCATTTCAACTAATTAAATGAAATTTTAGTTAAACAGCACCTTTAAGTATTGGTATTGCAGCTGCAAGTGAATTTAAATAGCATTTACACAGATATAATTAGCACAATTAAACATGGGTAGAAGTAAAAACACCATTCTTAATTATATTGATATAATCAGATTTATTAATGCTTTATAGCAACAAAAGTGACACCTGACAGTGGCACACAATTCATGACAGAACCTAATATTAAGCATTTTAGCATATTAAGGAATCTAAAGCTAGGTAATTGAAGAAAGAAAGAAGTCAAATAATGAATTCCTACCTGTGACGATACCATAGTTGGGAGGTTCAAGAATTACTCCATAAAACTGGATGATGTTTCTGTGACTCAAGACACTGAGTATTTCTGCCTGTACAAAAATCAAATGCAAAGTTGCATAAAATTTCACATTTATAATTAATAAAATATACAGCATAGTCAATTTTATTTTACTTACATTAACAATGATATACATATATATATATACTCAACAAGTATGTGATGTTGAAAAGAAAGACTTTAGCAACATGGTTGAAAGTTTATAGTAAATTGCTGTTGAAGCTTTATGAAATTTATTTAAAAAATGGGATTGAAGGGTCAACAAACGATGCAGGTGATTAGCAAGTCCACATGACTGGTACTGGAGAAGGGTGATTGAAGAGGTGAGATACCATACTTATTTAGAGGAAAAGCCCTTTTCCTGATAACCAAATATATTTTTCTGCATAATATTCTCTTTGAGAAGCTGCAGCATGTCTGAACTTCTGTCATTTGGATGAGTCAAAATTAAGGTAGAGGTTTCAAATATTTTTGAACAGATTCAAATAATACCCATTTATATTATTTATCTAAAATTATCTTAAAATATATTACTGCTGTCATTTATGCAATGTACTATAAACAGATGAAGGTGATCTGAGAGGACTTGCACACTATTAAAGGTATTAATACTAGAAAACTGTACTGGAGTGGCATAGCAAAAATAAGTTATATTTATTAAACCTTATTTTTTTCTCATTGAATTTACTGGTACATTACACTACAGTATACAGTATACAGTACAGTTACATTCATCATTGGGATCCTGTACCTTTACATGACAGGTCTTGGTTCTCATTTTTTCCCCTTGTCCCTGCCCTCCCTTCACCCCTCCTCCCTTCCTTATTTACAAATACTTTATTTCCATTTTTTCATTTTCTTGTATTTTTTCCCTTATTACCTTTCCCCTACCCTACCCACTCCCCTTAAACCTAATTTTTAAAATAAAAAAAAGATACTACAGTTTATAGACAGATACTCCAGATAAATCACATATATTGATTAAAATTTTATTCATCTTATGGAGATAAAATGGCAAATCAATTAAGAATTATAAATACAAAGAGGTATAAAATCATATACACTAAATATAGAAAAGATTTAATGTTTTAAGTGAAAGGTATATTATTGGCAGTAAAGAGTAGATTTTTAAGCCCCTACCCCAGAAGAGGCATCATCCAGAAAAATGTCAGCAATTAATGGAGAAGCCAGGGTCAGAAAGAGTACTCTCCTCTGGTAATATACAAACTATGAATTAGTGTTATTTGCTATACATTTTTTTTCACAGGGTGAGAGTTGAAATTTCATGAAAAACACATTTTGTGAAACTAGTTTTGAAGGTAATGTAACTAGATAGGAAACAGAGGTCTGAGGGTTGGCAGGGGGCTAATGCAGATTCAAGAGAAAGGAAAATCATCATTGATTAGAAGAGACACTTATGAGGGTTAATTTGACAGTGTTTTTCTCCTAGTAAAAGAGGTGCTGAAGGGGGCTATCATTGCTTAGCCAAATGATTCCTTAACATCCTCTGAGTGCTGTCCCTCGCAGAGGCTCTGCATTCACCGGGCAACGTTCTTCTCATAGCTCACGTTCCCAAGAAAGAACAGAAGGCATTAATTAGCCAACACAACCATTCATCTGATGGCAATTCTAACTCTCACCATGGAATAATAATGGAACGTTGTTATAAAAATAAAGATTATGTGAAGTTTAGATATCACAAGTTGCCCTATTTTTAAGTATCAGAACAACTGTATGAATAAAGCATTAGAGATCAATGTGAGTAAAGCAGATGAGTTAATGTTGGCACCAGTATCTGTCAAACAGGGAGAGTATGATCTTTCAGTATAATCTTTATGGTATCTGAATTTTGTGCCCACTAAAATATTTTATATCAACAAAGAATAAGTGTAGGAATACCTGAACCCTTGGATGACCTTTCTATACACTAGTATGATGAAATTTTCAATGTTCCCAACAGTTTTCTCATTTATATAAACAATATTGCCAAGTGATACCTTGAGGAGAAGGATTTATCTTTTTAGGAGCTGGTTAGCATGTTTAATAGGTCTTGAGCAGGCACATGCACATCTCAAAATAACAGCCAACATCCTGCATCCCACTGCTGTGCTCATACTTTAATATTTTACAATTATTAAGGCAAAATTACTGTTTTGTAGGGTAAGATGTTTTCCTGGAATAAGTCTTTAAATTCTTATTTAATAAATTAAGAATCTGATTTAAGGCCGGGGATTTAGCTCAGTGGTTCCGCCACCTGCCTCACAAGCACAAGGATCTGAGTTCAATTCCCGGTACAAAAAAAAAGAATCTGATTTAAGAACATAACTTTAGAGTACCATACTAGCTTCATGGAAATGGGCTATTAAAAACCAAGCGGATTGGGAAGAAAAGGGCTAAAGGTGTAGCGAAAGTGGGAAGGGTAGGGGAAAGGTAATAAGGGAAAAAATATGAGAAAATGAAAAAATGGAAATAAAGTGTTTGTAAATGGAGAGGGTAAGAGAGGATAAAGGGAGGGCAGAGACGGGAAAAAATGAGAACCAAGAGCACCTGTCATGTAAAGGTACAAGATCCCAATAATGAATGCAACTAAAATGTACCAATAAACTCAATAAAAGAAAAAAAACAAAACAAAATAAACAAGCAGATTGGGCCAGGGATTTAGCTCAGTGGTTCCACTGCCTGCCTCACAGCACAAGGACCCGAGTTCGATCCCTGGTACCAAAACAAAATAAAAATAAAACAAAAAACAACAAACAGGCAGACTGAAAAAGCGATATGTTAGTAACAAATAAAGAAATAAAGGTCAACTGATACTAGGATGTTAGCAATTCAAACAAGCTCCAGTAGAAGTGTGTGGGTAGATGAATAACTGAAACCTGAATAGCAGCTGTCAGTATCTGATTGTGAGTGGGTAGATTCTGTGGAGTTAGCTTTTATAGGTGACTGCTTGCAACAACTCACTAAGGAAACTGCTGCAGTAATTAAGCAATATGTAGTTTTTCATTAAATTGGTTTTTTCAAATTGTTTTCCAGACTGCCATTCTCGGATAATCTAGTGACAGGACTGCCTATCAAAATAATGCATTTGATGTTTTAGAATTAGTTCACTGTTAAAATATATCTTTTTATACTATTAAAATCAAGCAATTTATTTTCAGTCAGCACAATTTGATGAAAAATGTTAATTTTAATGTATTGATTTTAGAATTTTAGTCTTAATAGAAAAACATTAATTTTATAGGCATATAAGAGTTACAAGGAGTTAAATCTTAGTTTCATGTCTGAGCATACTTAAATTACATTGAAATAATTTTAGTCAACAAGGGAATCAAGAACACTGCAGACGGGTTATTCTAGTATTTCAAACACTTGTACCCAGTGTCCACACATAAGCAGTGTTCACAATGGTTAAAAGGTAAAAAAAACAAAAAAAACAAATGTTCATTCTCTGATAAGAGGATAAACTAATTGCTATATACAAATGAATATTATTTCAGCCATAAACAAATTAAGATGAATCTTGAAAGCATTATGCTGACTAAAGTACACCAGACGCAAAAGGACAAACATTGTATGATTCTACTTATGTGAGATGTCTTGAATAAGTAAATTCAGATTATATTTTAAAAAGCAGACCACCAGGGGTTTGGGAGAGGAGGGAATGGGGAGTTACTGCTTAAGGGCTACAAAGTTTCTGTTTGGGGGGATGAAAATTTTGAAAACAGATGATAATGATAGTTACATGACACAATGAATATAATTAAAGCAACTTAATCATACAGTTAAATGTTGTTAAAATGGCAAAGTTTATGCCATATATATATATATATTTTACCACAGTAATCAAGTTTAAAAAATGCTGTTCTAGACTTCTGCAGAGATGATCAGTCTGTTATGGCTTTTATCTACATCTTCCCCCAAAGCCTCATGTGCTCATAGGTGGGGCTTTTTGGAGCTGGCTGGATACAGGGCATGTGATATTGGGATTAAGGGTATGTGGTACTAAATTAGTTCACTGGTTAGAATTAGCAAAGTTCTGGGTGGCACTATCCAAAAGGCTGGCAGCCTGGATGGGATAAAAAGGAAAAGAAAGCTTGCTGCTGGTTTACTGCATTCTGCCTGCTATGCCATGAGCTGTTTCTCCTCTGCCATAACCCCTCTGTCTGCTATGCTGCCCTGCCTTGGAGCCAGCTGACTATGGACTGAAACCTCTACAAACTGTGGGCCAAAATAAACCCTTCCCCCTATAACTTGTGGGTGTTGGGCATTTTGCCTCAGCAACAAGAAAAGTAAGAGTCTATATTCAATAATCATCCTAAGTTATACATAGTAGGACCTAAATATCCTTGAGATAAATATATAATTTTCTAGTTTAGGACTGGAAGGTCTAAGGGTTGGAATCGAATGTAACAATTTTAACTCATGATCTAAAATGCTCCATAAAACAAGGGTCTCAGTCTAATATGTAAATGGAGTAGCCAAAAATCTATTTATAAAAATGTCTAAGAAGAATGTTCTTAACAGAGTATAAAAATGTCTATATAACGTGTTTGGAGTGAAATATGTGTCTGCTTTTACTATTTAAGGCTGAAGCCAATTTCTACTGCCCTTCTCTCTCTTTCCTTTCATCTTTCTTAACAGCAAAAATGACAGCCATTTTAGTTTGTTTATAATGTGGGCAGAAGGTGGATATTTTGATGTTTTATTTTATCTCGCATTTCTATGAGTTTGTGTGGGGAGATGAGCCATTAGCTCAGTTTGCTGTGCTTCCAGAAGTTGACCAGCATACAAGTTCCAAACAACTGATTCCACCAGAGATATTAAGAGAAGTTAAATTTCATAGTTTTAATTCTCTTCCTTTAAAGTACTTCCAACAATTTCAAATAAGATTTTGAATCAATTCATTTTCCATCTTGAGTAATTCCTCTTCCTTAATTAAAAACTTGTTTTTCAATTAATCCCCAATTTAAACCTTTTTCTTTAATTTTTGAAAAGCTGCTATAGAATTCTCAGATTCTGTTTCCAAATCTT